ACTGCAACAAACAATATGAATGACAACTTCAATTTAAATACCAGTTATATTAAACCGGTCTTAAGTGAAACAACTGAAATAGACATCCTTTATGGAAAAAATACAGCTATTAATTATAGCTGTAGATAGATAGCTATCTATCTATTGTATTTATAATATCTTTCTATATATAATTTTAATAATTGTTTATAGATCAATAACTAAATTAAATTCCATGGATTACAATAGTGACCATAAAGGTTTCATTGATGAAACTCAAAATGTCACTAGCTGATTTTTAGATGCATTTCCTGCAAAAATGGAAAGTTTTTATTCTCAAATAACATGTCTAGAGTCACATGGTTGGGGCAAAGTGTCACATTACAGTTTAATTTTTGTTTGCACCATAATAAGATGATACCTGCATGCATCAAAGCTCAAAACAAAAGGCAAGTAAACCATGTTAACAAAATGCATAAACATAGAGGTAAAATAACCATAACACAATGCAGCACTAAAAGTTTGCAATGTGGTATGGTCTTGAATCTATGTTTTGAAGATTTCTGTTGTAGTCTTTTTTACCTTGCTCCCTGTGTTTAGTCCTCCTTGCTGTTCCTTGTGTGTTTCCCAATGTAAGACTTAGCCTATTAGTTGCCATAGGCACTTATTGTACCACAACAACCTGCCTGTTAGTTGCCTTAGCAATTCATTAACTCCTCCTGCTTGTTAGCCTGCTAGCATGTGCATTTATACCCTTGGGTTTGGCTTGTTAAGCTCTGTCTACTAACTGTTTGACCAGTTGTGTGCTGGAAGAAAACCTAGTACTGCCCAATAAGCTAGCAGCTAGCTAAATATGAGTGTTTATGCTTAGCTGACTACTAGCCGCATGCTTCAAATGCTAGTTATGGGTACAGTATATTGCACAGCCATACAGATTCAATTTTGGACTATTTTATATTTTTATCAAACTTTCTTAAAAAGAAAAAAATATTGTATGCAGTCATGTCATAAAGAGCCTTTAAGTTAAGAAAAAGTGAGAGAACTTGAGATTGTAAAGGGGACAAAAGGTTCAAATTTCTACCATCAAAGAGTTCAGTTCTCAGCTAAAAAGGTGATTTGTGTGAATACAGACCTGTGTTTAAATGAGTTGGAAGGCATTATGAACAGGCTATGGGATTCATTTGTGCTGACAAAGTGTCTCTGCGTGTAAAGCCTGTCTGTGCAGGCCAACACTATCACTCATTGTATTAAGACAAAACCTTTTCACACTGACCTGAAATCAGTCTTCCAGACTGTGCCAAACAGATCATCTTAACTTTTAACTGCATTATTAAACATACAGTACGTAACACCCAGCAGAATGCATGCATAGACAGGTCATGGATTGATCCACATGTCGCTTAAATCATAAAGAATAAGTTATCTTTCAGTCCCATTGAAGTGACCCTTAAACAGTGATGGATTAGGCTGTGCAATATACTGTATGTGCATACAGCAGTGGTTTGCAATAAATGAGCTAACTCTTATCTCTTTGTGCCTGTCATTTGCACACCCTCTGAAAGAGTTTTCAGCACATCAGACAATGTAGTCACATGATGACAACAATCACTCACTGTCCTTCGGCTTATTTCCTGCTTATCACTGTTAAATATCTTGTCTGCTATTTGTTTTATGCAATGGTAAAACATGGTTTTTTACTTTCAGAAGTTGTAGTGATGTTTCTTTTACCAATGCTATCTTTTTCAAGTAACTGCTTTCAGAATAAAAAAGTAGACAATGGTATTATTTTTAAAGGTAATATTAGAAAAATAACAAATCAGGATAATAAAGTTGTGACACTGGAAATTGCAATAATGACTGTTAAGACAGATTTGGCGTCACAGGAATAAAATGCACTCAAAAAATGTTACATTGAAAAAAAAAATACTTTAAATTGTAATAATATTTTATAATATTGCTTTTGTTGTATTTATGAATGATACATAACTAGTAAAATGTTTATATTTATTATATATTTTATAAATATATAAAATATTGATAATGCATTATTTAGCATGCTATCGTGTATTGCATTTTTCTTCAATATAACACAGCCCTAGATAGTGACTTGAACTGAAGAGGAAGCGATTTTCAGTGTTTGATCAACAATACCTTCAATTCAGAACAATAACAATTAATTACTTTTGTATAGAAAGATGTGTATTATATTTATAACTTTACATCTCTTTTTTAACTTTATTATAAGTCTACTGTCTTAAATGTCATTTTCTTTATTTGAACAACAAAAAATATATATATACTACTGGTCAAAAGTTTGGGGTCAGTAGGATGTATAAATATTTAAAAATAAGCTTCTCCTGCTCACCAAAGCTGAAATTTCCAAAATTCCCATCACTAACATCAAGACTGACAGTGTGCCTGGAGCAATGCATTTATCAGCACTCTTGAAACAACGCTTAACCAACCAAATCAGAGGACCAGAACTAAAATTGAGTAATGAAATATTGTAAAGTCTGAACATGTTTATGAACACGGGACTTTCCTGGTCGAACAGTTTATTCAGCTAACATGTTGAAACTGGATCATCTTTTCATGACTTCATGAGTGAAGTATTTGAGGATATGAGTAGGTAAAAAGAGTTTTGGGTACACCTATGTTCATCAATAACCACATATGTCAAATGTGTTAAATGTCATTTTCTTTATTTGAACAACTAAAATATTGATATAAACTACTGTTCAAAGGTTTGGGGTCAGTAGGATTTGTAAATGTTTTAAATTAAGCTTCTCCTGCTCACCAAAGCTGCATTTATTTCATAAAAATTCAGTGAAAAGGTGTAAAATTGTGAAATGTTATTTCACTGTAAAATAACTGTTCAAATGTAGTTGATCATTTTACTTAATATTAATTAATGTAATTGTAATAAAAACAATAATGACTGAAGTAATAATTTTATTTGAAATTAAATACAATAAGAAAGCGTTTAATTTACTTTGATTTAATTTAGTAAATGCCGCCTTAATGAACAGTATATATATATATTTTTAAAAACATGAAAAAAACTGGCCCCAAACTTTTGACCGGTAGTGCAAATTAAACATATAAATGTAATAAAAATAATATTTTATGCTGCTATATAAAACCTGGAGAGAAGCCAGCAGGCAAAAGCAAAAATTTTAGTCCTCTAAATGTGAAATTTCACTGACACAGCAGCCACCTCTGCAAATAAAAGCCACTCATTTACTAGGTAAAGTGGGAGTTGATTTTTGTATGCTTTTAAGACAGTGAATTTACATCTAAATGAATCACTGTTCAATTAATTACTTTGTGCGAATTGATCAAAAATTCACTCTGATTATTACTTATCTAATAATGCAACATTGAGATAGGTTCAATTAAAAATCCCCATCATTAACATCAAGACTGACAGTCTGCCTGGAGCATTTATCAGCACTCTGGAAACTACACTTCACCAACCAAATCTGAGGACCAGAACTAAAATGAAAATGAGTAATGTAATATTGTATAATAAGTCTGAACATGTTTATGACCACGGGACTTTCCCGTTCACACATTTTATACAGCTAACATGTTGAAACTGGAGCATTTCTTCATGACTTCATGAGTGAAATATATGAGGATATGAGTAGGTGAAAAGGGTTTTGGATACACCTACATGCACACATCTATACCCACTGAAACCAATTTGATATTTTCCTCTATGAACAAGCATTAAAACTAAGCCCACTTTACAAAGCTGCAGACATATAAGAGAAAGTTTAAAATGTTTAATATGCTGACTGTCCAGACAAACACATGACACTGCACAGGTGCTATACTTTCAGACAGGCTGCGACAAGCGCAACTGCTGCCTCATGTTTCCTCAGTCAGAGTCATGTCACCTGTTCAGTGTCAATAGAAGAAAGCTACAACCTGCTGTTTTTTCTCCCACTCACAGCTGACTCAGCCATACATCTAGAAACTAATGCTGAGGGAGCAAGAGGAACTTTTCACCCTAATTCACTTTTTTACAGTTTGATAATGGTTTTTAACCAATTACAAGTGTTAAATGTTTACGAAATATATTAAAACATTAAGTATCAAAAATGGACTTTTTGTTAACCCGCTGAAACTTAAGATACTTATAAATGATTATTGATGCATCAAGCCATTATTTACCACTTTCTTTGACAGGTTTCTACTTATTCTTGGAAGCAACATCAATTTCTTGGAGATTGTATTTTTTCTTTGTCTATTACTAAATATGGGTCTGCAGCATCAGTTAAAAAATATTTTAAGTTATGTTTTTAAATTAAGTTATTTTTTTAATTTCACACATGCAGGAACCCAAATGTCTGTATTTTTTGTGTATCATAGAAAAAGAATAGTAGATGCAGTTTGCTGTCATAATGTTTCTGCTTGTGATAAATTTGCGATAAATACTTGCAAAAATCACTTTATACATTTTTTATTGTTAAAAATGAAGTGTTCAAGTCAATTATTTTTTGTACCATTTAAAAATGATGAATAATAATTGCACTCCAGAAAGTCAAAAAGAGCAGGCTAATTACTGTTTTAGGCAGTGTTGGGTCAGTTCCTTAAAAAGTAAATAATTTCAAAAAGTAAATAATCTCAAAACATACAATACATTGTAAATAATTTCTTACATTGATTCTTTAATGTCAACAATGTACCGTTATCTTAACAATTATAACATTCCTTAGTTGAAAAAGGGCATGATTCTGAAAAATAGGCTATATTTGAATAACAAAAATAGCCTAGTCAATAATTAGTTTCTCTAAACTGATTTACAGAGGAGTGCAGAATTTATTTGAAGTAGGATAACTGAGTACATTACACTGTGGTTAAACTGCATAAAATTATCCAAGTTATCTCTTTATTTAACTTTCAACGGACAAGTTATTTAATTACAGTAACTACACGCAACAGAAAAACAATCCGTTACCGTACTCTACCTAAGCTACGTTTCAACTTTTCCATAGTAATTGCAACAACAACAATTGTCCTACCTGTTGAATCTCTTCTCCTCGTAACAGAAACATTTGAAAAATCTTCACTTCCATCACTACAACGGGCTTCAGCCATGAGGTATAACCGCACGTCTTTCTAATAATATTTAGACTTTTTTAACTTAAGGAAAAAAGCTATTTGAAAGATTTTAAAACAAAGTCTGGCGGTGTGTTTTGTTTCAGCAAAAAGCCAGGAAGACTGTTAAACAGTCAAAGACTGATGAACGAAACCCTGCGGTTGGCGCGAGCATCATGACAAACAGAAGGGCGAGAGAGAGATCTGTGCACGCGCGTCTTTTACTGCTCAGCAGAGGGCGGAGAAGATTACATTGATTTTAAACCTTTCTGTGAAACATTAGACTACACAAAGAAATACGTAAAGAAAAAAAAGTTGTGATCCTTAGCTATTCAGAAGTGTCATTAAACAAGAAGTGAGTCCAGGCCAAACGAACATTTGTTTTATAATTTGAGCAGCCTGGAGAGTCAAATTAAAATAAACAACAACAGTTAACAATTATTCTTTTTAGCCATATTATTTATGCAAACTATTTATTTCAGTATTTTATTTTTATTTTGATGTCAACCCCAATTATATGAAATGTTGTATCCAAAATATCCATTTCATCAATTCACTGTTTCATTTACATTCTATCAGTTTTAAAATGAAGCATGCATAATATTCTGATTGTGAACAACTGCATGATTTCAAAAGGTTCATTTTATTTTAATGAATTGGCATAATATGCATCTATGTTTTTAAAATTTATTATAAAACGATCAGAATTTAGGTCATTGCTAGAATATGTGCTAAAATAATAAATGTAGTATCACTCTTAATATATCATTCTTATTCACAATGCTGTAAAATATAATAAGGCCAAAGTGTTCTTTGGGATGGGTGTTTATTGTTTATCTTCTCAACTGCATTTTAACAAAATAGTTTTTACAGTTTTTGGCACACAAAAGTGTTCATGGAGCTTTTGAACACTGCCGTTGAACACCTGAAGTCAGTATAGGAATGTTTTGACAACCTTTTAAATATTCTGGACTATGAACTTCACTTGACCATTGTTGTCTATAGACATACAGTATATGTAGGGTGAGGGACGCTCTTAGATTTCATCTAAAATAGCCTAAAATAATTATCTTGTTTTCTGAAGATGAACAAAGGTCTCAGGGGAGTGGAATGATATGAGGGTGAGTAACAGTAATTAATAACATAATTTTCATTTTTGATGAACTAGTCTTTTAATGGCACCTTGTGGGTAATGGGAAAGTCACTTGGGCTACAAAAAAGTGTTTTGATTTTTTTTATATGCACATAACAACTCTATGAATGTCCAATTTCTCTTTCATTCTGCCACAGTGACTCAACATTGGAGTAAGGTTAAAAGCAGCAGTTACATCTTATGCAATACACATACAATACTGTCCAAAGTCTAATTCTTGGCCACTATATTCATTAACAAATTCAGTTAAGTCAGTTATTTTTATCTTTTGCAGTAGTTAGTTAGAAGTAAATAGCAATTTACATTTCCAAAACAATTTTTTTCTACTCCTTTTAATAATCGAGTGACAGTTTTGATTGCTGATATCAGCCAATGCTCCACACAAAGATGTGATCTGCACCATCATCCAGTACACCTAGAAAAACATGAAGAAACAGAAAGAATCATGCTAAACTACATCAGTGTCAAAGTGCACATGTTTAATGTTAGAGCATAACTTAGCATACCAACATAGTATAATATTATGCAGTTTACTCATACTTTGGATTGTGCTATTTAGGATTTCACTGTGATGACAATAAAAGTAAAATTGCTACTAATATATGAATTACTAATATAATTTGTATATCAGAAAAAGTACATTGTATATTATATATAGTCTACATCATGCATGTATTACTAGGTTTTCAATTTATATTATTTCATTTTATTTTATTCTTGAAATCACGTGTTTATTATTAGACTGGTGTCACATACTCCTCTCATGTCTTCAGATGCGCTGATGAGGTTTTTCTGTCCCTCCATTGAATATCCTTCTTTCAAGTATTTTGAATGTGTAATTGTTTTATTTGAATTAAAGAATATGTACACTAGCAGTGGAAGTTACTGTGCAAGTTTTTGCTTGTGCAAAGCATCTGAAAAAAAAGATGGGCTGACTGTACTGTCCAATGCAGAGTATCAAGTTATATGAAACATTGAAAACTCAATAATTCTTCATTTAATAGAAATGCTGATTTTTATATAGTTCTACCTATTCTACCTTATATAGTTCTACCTATAGTTACCTATTTTTATCATGGATTTAATTTTTTTGGCTTAAAGCAATATATATTTGAAGTTGAAAGTAAATTTAGATTTAACTTTTTCATACTAAAATTTATTCCAGGGTCAAGTTTTAAAAAAAGAAAAAAGTATTCTAGGAAATATATTCTTTTGTCTTTTTTTGTACATTTTGAAATGTGTTTTTTTCTACACGGGATATTCCACCATGACCTTTACATTTTAAAAGTAAAATTAAGAAAATGCAAAAAAAATAAAATAAATAAATAAATAATAAAGGAAAGAAATTAGAAAGGATAATGACGTTCCTAACATTTTTCCAACCTTATTTTTCCACAGTATAAACAATGTTACATGGCTAAATGGCTATCATGTAGTTTAGATACCTATGGTTTAGTCATTACTTTCTTTGCACAATTTATGTTACTCAAAATCCCTTCAAAAATTCTGGAGCTGACCCTGTCATATTTGTCAGGTTTATTCCCACTCAGGGGCTGGAGTCACTACACTGGAGGCATACACTTCTCAAAAACACACAGCTAAGTGCTCTATTATGGCTATATATGCGTGGGAACACCCCTGTCTTCCATTGTCATCTAAGAGAGACTTGTTATACAGGCAACACTTTAGAAATAGATAAAAAATGTAATGTATAAGTTGATCATTTTATTAATTTGCTGTAAATATGCACATTTGATGCAGTTACTGCATGATTGCATTTTACATTATTTCTGCCTTTACTAAACAAAGCTGTGCACACAATTTGCCACAGGCTTAATTTGTTACTGAAATTCCATGTTAATAGAAGAATTATACTGAATTTGATCAGCAAGAACACCAGGAGGAGGAAAAACTCATTTATGAAACCAAAGTATTCTCTTAATTCAATTGATTGCAAATTCATATTGGTTCAGGATCCAGAAATGTGTTGGTTCAACCCAACCATTATCTCAGCAATTGAAAAGAACAAAACAAAAACTTCAACTCATTCACCTTCCTCACCAACAGCCTTTTTCTTCTGATGCTGTTTATGTATATTTTTAACCAAAAAGGAGAACAAAAACAACACTTTTCACAAAAAACAGTTTAACTGGTTTTTAAAAATGACCTGTAATAGTGAATATGATCATAATAATAATAATAATAATACATTTTATTCATAATGTGCTTTTCTAAAACCCAAAGTGCTACAACATACAGAGAAATCAAACATGCAATAAAATACAAGTATACATAAAAAAGTTATAAAATATGAACGCAGAATAATCAAGAATCTAAAAATGCAGTCTTAAAAAGATGAGTTTTTAGCATCTTCTTAAAACTAGCTAGTGTGGAAGCATTTCTTACAGAGTAAGGGAGAGCATTCCGTAACCTATCATGCTGGCAGTGCGCAATCGATTTTACCGGGGGCCTCTTGAGAAGTTTTTAGTTTTGTTCATTCATCAGACTGTGCTTGTTGATTGTGCACACTCAATACAATGAATATTACAGACTAAAGAAGATTATGATAAAACTAATCATTTTCCATTTAAGCAAGTTTGAAAGTACCATAAAAAGTAAAGGAACTCAAGGCACTTAACAATCCAGTTATCTTTACATCTTGTAAGGTTTTTAAAAGCATGGGTTAACGCAATCAAACTTGAACCACCAGATTTCTGAGCCAGTCACCTGTAATGTGCTTCACTGCAAATCATCTGGTTGTGTAACAGGTATTATCTGAGAGGAACCATTTGAAAACATTATCATCCATTCTCTCTCTCTCTCTCTCTCTCTCTCTCTCTCTCTACCACAGGCGTCAAATCCAGTTCCTCGAGAGCCACAGCTCTGTTAAACACACCTGATCAAACTAATTGAGTCCTTGAGTTTTGTTTGAAACCAACAGGTAATGCCGCGGTCACATTAAAGTTTGTGCATGCTAAATTTTTTTGTGGCGCTGTGAAAAGGGGTGGGATTAAAGATTATTAGACATTATTAAAACGAGCGACTGGTCCATTTCTGTCCAGAGAGGTCATGTTTTGGTCTTCGATTGGTCTCACAAAATCCAGTGATGTGATTTTGCAGGTCAGAGTTCACCAAGCTTGAATTTTCGAAAGCAGCAAACTGAGAAACTTGTTGCATGAGTTTATGTTTTCGGTCTGATGCATTTATGTGCGTATATATAGAAGTTTATGGGGAGAGAAGTCCAGTGTGACCATGGCTTTAGTTTGTTGAAGCAGGGTTGAAACTAAACAGTGTAGAGCTGCATCCCTCCAGGAACTGGATTTGACACCTGTGCTCTAGACGTAGAGGAGTTGTAACATTTTGTTGTAACACTTTTTACATTTCTCCCTATATGTTTGAGATCTTTTAAGCCAGTGCGTTCAAAATCTGATTGAATAGTTACTGGGATGAGATTATGATTTCTACCTTACAACTAACAGCTAAACATTATCATCAACAACATGTATTAAAATATGTGCACAGACACAAAATTGACATAATTTAACTTGGATGGATTTAACTACAAACAAGGCATTTCTATTCCAAAAAAAATTTAAGCAAAAAGTATTACATTCTTAGCTCAAATGTAGTTTTTCTCCTCTAGCAACTGTTGTGTTTGCCACAGGCCTCTTCTTTTCCATATGTGGAATGAGGACTAATTAGCATGTGTGAAGTGAATCAGCTGGTTTGTAACTAGTCCCTGATTAGTGTTACATGACCTGTGATACAACTATCTGGTCTCCCCTATAGCAAACACATATTCCATTCCTCTTTCTTTAATTACTTCAATAAACCTTAATTGTATGGACTATTTTTGTTGTATATTGTATTTTGCTTCACCTAAGAATTTTAATTTAATGGCAGCTTGTCTAACTTTGAAAAATTTATATTTCAGAGTGGTTTTAAAAGGACATTTAATTGCATCATGTGTCATCATTAATTTATAGACCATTTTGAGGGATGTAAACTATAACAATGGTTCTATTGTATTTCCTGTTTTCCATATTAATTTCCAAAAATTCCAAGACTCTAAAAATGTCCAAATATTGAAAAAAATGTATAGCTGTTTTAATGTCAAGTTTTGATTGAATTAGGCTACCAGTTGTTACATTTAAAAAATAGTTTAACAACAAGCAGGAAATGTTCAGGGACCAATGACATTATGACATTGAAATGTTCTGCTTCTTATGCACTAATTATATTTTATTTATTGATTGTTATATATTGTAGTTATATTTGTGTAAAAAATAAAAATAACCTTTTAAAATTATAATGTATAGTTGTTTGCTTGATTGTGGATCGTGAATTTGAATACAACATGTAAGAAAAAAGGGGTTGAGATTACCTGCCCTGATTAAGGAATTCAGGCATATAAAACAACCTCTAATCACTAAATGAGCACCATTTTTTACAGACACTTCATATTTATTTAATTGTTTGCTGATTACATTCAGACTAATAGTCCTATTAGGCTATTTAGCCCATTGAAAACGTCTTAATATACATTAGTAATGTATTGCCATGTGTTTGAGAAATTGCGTTAAACAATAAATGAAGAAAATATATAAAAAACTATCCCAAAAACTTTTTCTGTCTGCAAAATGTATTCATAGACGCTGTGTACTTGTTCCATTTATATTCACGCTTGTATGTTCTTATTCTATATACGTTTAATCAGCAGATGTCACCAGAGAGTCGCGTTTCTGTCCTTGTTCTTTTTCTTGTGAGGACGTGTTTGGTATTTGGTTCTTTACCGCCACTAACTGGACAGGAGTTTGAAGCAGACTTCACCAAAGAAGGAAAACTCAGCTACATCATCATAGGAAAATACCAACTAATAAAATGTTATATTTAATTTTTTGGAATGTCTAAACCTGCACTGAGAACCTAATAATGTTGCATAGGCTATATTTCTCTTCCTGTACCATTTTAGTACAATTTACACTATAAGCAACGTATAGCTTACATTTTTGAACGTTTTGATTATTTATTTTATTCTGTAGGCTGCAGTACATCCATGCGTGTAACTGTAATAAATTGTCCTGTTTGTCAATATTGTAATAAACAGTGTCCTATAATAGTGTCCTCCAGTCACATTTTATTTGAAAATAAAAGTTTTATACTGAAATTTAATATTCACAAAATAAAAAAATGCATACATGAAACAATCTTTGAGAATACTTAATAATTTGAAATATGATATATGTTACGTGTTGAGAAAGATAAAGCATTATCTTTAACACCATGTAGTCCTCTATGTTTTCATAAAAATAATTAAAAAATGTCAAAAAAGGTCAGTTTAATATTTTACATTAATGATTATTTCCATGTAAATTATGTAAAAACGTTAAATAGTTTATTAAAAATTGTGTTAATAACTAGGCCTAAATTTCAAAAGTGTTTTATTGTGCTTTTATTTTTTTTAAATCCCCACACAAAGGTCGCATAAGACTGTTTAAGAACGTTTAAAAAATGTGTCCACACACAATTTTGTCTTGTGGCGTTAAAAAGACACGCACTAAATAAATACTACTAAAATAAATTATTCAAATAGGAATGAGCTAGAGCCCAGGCAGCAGCAAATCACGGATCTGATCTAGAGGTTGTGGGCGGGGCTTGTGCTCGAGCTCACCTTTCTAATGCACGCTCAGGTGACCGAGCGAGCGCTGTGCGGTGTCGTCAGAAATCTCTGGATCTTTAAAGTCTGTTCTGACAGAATCAACAAACCCACGACGACAACGACATTTGGACCACGGTAATGAGAGAAATAATGACGCGGGGGTATGATCGGTTTAACTCCAGTCGAAGAATATTATGACAGAGCTACACAGAGAGCTGCTGAACTGAAGTTTTGCCAGGTGTCGAAGAGAAACAGCGTTTGAAGACTAAAGGCAAAGTATGTATTGTTTCACATAGGCTATTATCTATGCTGCTGCCTTTTTGTTTGTGAATGTTTTGTAATTATTTAACCTATTCTAACGGGTTGTTTTCCTGCTCGAAAGAACAGTTGTGTACATTGTTTTTAGACCGAACATGAACAGGTTGATCTAGGTTGTCTGGAAAAGACACTCGTGGACTTTTGCTGGAAGCATGACTGCTACAACCAAATTCTGGTTATTTACATTCTTTAACTATAAGTAAGGTGCTATTGGTTATTATATGCGTAGAAGTCTAAAGATCTTCCCCTTTAGTGTTTCTTTATTGACATGACATGGAAAACAGATGTTTTACAAAAAAGAAGTATGTTGTCTTTAAATCTAGTCATTTAATTATCCAACAATATGACTCAGTAGTTAAATGTTCAGTGTTTTTCAGTGTTAAGAAGTGTTTTGTATAGTTACTTTTTGAAAAAATCACTAGGATTCTGTATTTCAAACACAAATATCATGTTTGTTTAAAGTGTAATATGTGCTGACACTTTTAATAAGTTATGTAACAATAGTTGGCTGTAAATTTAAAATGACAATCAAAAGATATTTACAAGTCTGAGAATAGAAAATAAAAGAGAGTCAAGTAGCAGTGTGAAATATGATGAGAGATGTCAAATATGACAATGGGGAAAAGTCAAAAATGTATTGTTCAATTTCAAGTCAATCCAAGAGCGCTCTAAAGACAGTGCTCTGTAGGGAGTGCAGCTAGTAAACACATGAGAAGGTCCCTCGGCGTGCAACAGGTGAAAAAAGAAGTCGCATGCATGAAGCTTTGCTTATGAATGCAGCTGTAATGTGACCATGTGACTGTGTTTTTTTTAAAATATGTTTTTACATAAAAATTCTTGGGCAACACAGTGGTTAGTCTCACAGTAAGAAGGTCGCTGGTTCGAGTCCTGGCTCGGTCAGTTGGCATTTCTGTTTGGAGTTTGCATGTTCTCCCCATGTTCCTGTGGGTTTCCTCAGGGTCCTCCGGTTTTCTCCACTGTCCAAAGACATGCACTATAGGTGAATTGAATAAACTAAAATGTTTATGGATGTTTCCCAGTACTGGGTTGCAGCTGGAAGGGTATCTGCTGTGTAAAACATATGCTGGATAAACTGGCAGTTCATTCCTCTTTGGCGACCAATGATGAATAAAGGGACTACGCTGAAGGAAAATTAATATAAATTGTTTTTGTAATGTTTTTTAAGCTAGTGAAGTATTTCCAAGTCATTTTATAAAATAGGTAAATACATTTATTTTTGCTTATATCAGGAAAAAATAACCGTTAAGCTGTCACTTATGCCATTATCCCAGCTGTTGTGACATATATCCTTCACAACATTATTCCAAAGCCTGTCAGTGACGCATTGAGCAGCTGTCAGGCAGAATACAGTGGATTGTCAGTTTTTTTTTTTAACGCTTCAGATTGATATTGTTCCACATTCATGTGGATTTGCAGTAGTAAACAGATTAACTTTTACATTTAACTTGTCTATTCCAGCCTTAGCTTGTCCCCTTGGCATGCCTTAGCCTGGTTCAGCCTTGTCTTGTGCTTGAGGATTAAAACACAAGACACACACACACACACACACACACACACACACACACACACACACACACACACACACACACACACACACACACACACACACATGTTTTGGTGATTTATTTTATGCTAAAAAAAAACTGCTTATTTTATCACCCCTCAAACCAACCCTCACAGAAAAACATTTAATTTGAAAAGACCCTATTAAGTATGATTTATTTTACAAGGTCACGGCATTTTAATACCTAGGTCATACCCTTATCATTATACAAAGTGTCCTTGTAAAACCAGTACTAACATACACACACACACATACACGGACACTAACCTTCAAGACTACATAGCTAAGACATTAACACTCTAGGCCAGGGAATGCTACGGGAATAGTGACTGATTATTACATTACTTGAATTATGAATTTTGTAATGTTGGGTAAACATTTTCTTAAATCCCTGCCTCAAGTAATTTCAATCATTTTCTGGTTTAGTTTATTCTATTCATAAATCTTGTTTACTCGGACTAAATCATTGGAGACTACTGGTGATAGAGGGGCGCTGAATACTTAGAGGTAAAAAAAAATGTCTCAATGGGACTGAAAAGAGCATTCAGACTTCAAAAAGCGTTCTGTGTCTCTCTCATCTCAGCGTTTGATCTGACTCATGTAATTGCAGCAAGTGTGTGTCTCCTGCTTTGTGAGACAAACCACGTCATGAGGGCTTGCTGTGTGCTGTCTCTCTCTTTCTATCACTTTTTTGCATCTCTTTCTCGTTTTGTTTGTCCTTCCCCTTTGAAACCAGCTTTTGCTCATTTTGTACACAGAAACAACTCCCTCTTATGATAAATGCTAGCAAGCCATCAGGGATGAATGTAGTATGTCTGTTATATCAGGATTTCAGCAGTGTTTTCAGGAGATGTTTTCAATGTTCCATTTTCATGAGATCTTTTGATGTATAGGTATAAGTTAAGGCTTAATAAAATTGCATTAGGATTGCATTTAGCAAAGCTGAGATTGTCTTGCACATCATGCGAGTAAAGTGTTGTGATGTGATCAGTAGCAAATCTCTTAAAGGGCCATGAAACCCCCTGTCTCAGCCGGGTGTTTTCACACCTCTAGTTTGTTTAGGTGGGAGTATCGAGTGGCAAAAGAGGGAAGAGTTTGCATGAAAAAGAGTTTCATTACATGCACTACAGCTGATTTTCACAGCGGCAACACAACCACAGATGCAGGGGAGATGTACAGTGATTCGGAGAGCAGCATTTACAACGGATCTGAGATCTCTGTGGAAGTGGAGGATTTTCAGTCCAAAATATTGTCATGATAATACTGTAAACTTGGTAACTAAATCATTTTGACTAAGGTATGTCTTTAAAAACTGAAAGAGTACTGCTAACGATACTAACTTTGCCATCTGAATAAATAAAAAAAAAAACATTGATCACACACTTACCAAATACGTAGAGACAGGACAATGTCTCTACACCAATTGGGATTGCGTCTTAAAAAAAAAAAAAAACATGAGTGGATTTCACCATTTCCATATTGAAAAAAGCTCTTAGGTAAAAAATGTTCCTTACAAACGTATTGTTGCTGTGTGTTAGCAGATCACTGTAGTCCACACATGTGAGTTCACACGCTAGATGTGCTCTTATCGCAGGGAAATGGACACAAAACCTGACAAACCTCTTTCCACTTGTTTGAATTGCGTTTGGCAACACAACGTGGCATCTCTCTAAACACTGTAACAGGTAAAAGGAGTCTTCGAAGCTATATCATGCATATCAATGAATTTGCATCTCATTCATAATAGAGCGTGCTGATTGGTTCGAGCCAAGTCTTTCTTTAAGATTAATGTAATGACGTAACTTTGTACCGGCCGGTACAGACGTCCAGTCTCCACGCTGAAATTTACACAATGATCTCATCGCCGTGACACAGATTCAAAATTTCTTTTTAAAACAGAAGAACGAATTGTCTCTGAAACAACGCAAAAACAACCAACTTTCACTTTTTTTGTGAAATATGTGTCTTTATAGTGTTTTTAGCTACATGGGACACATATATGACTGTCAACATCTCAAAAAATGTGTTTTGGTGTTTCGTGACCCTTTAAAGCCCAGAACGTGCTCTCATGAGTGGCACGGTCGGACACACCAAATATGCCCCGAAGAAACCCAAGAAATCCTTTTCAGCGGTTGGTGAAGAAACCGAAGATTAAACAGATACTATGAAAGCAAATCATGTGGCTTGTTCACAAAAGGACATATTTCTCGACTAAAGTCTAAAAGTATGTTTGGAGTAAAGACATCATTATTTGTGGTATTTCTACATCCTTTCAGATGTAACATTAGCAACATTTACTACAAAGGGAAGCAAGAGCTAAGCTAAGCAAACAGCTGTCAATTTGTTCATTCATTTTCTTTTCGGCTTAGTCCCTTTATTAATCCGGGGTGGCCACAGCAGAATTACCTGCCAATTTATCCAGCATATGTTTTACGTAGCAGATGCCCTTCCAACTGCAACCCATCACTGGGAATCACCCATTCACTCTCACTCACACACACATACTATGAACAATTTAGCTTACCCAATTTAACTATACAGGATGTAATAAAGTTCGTTGTTGTTGAGGGAAGAAGAAGAAAGGGTCGGCGACTCAGGTAAGCAAATGTTTTATTTATCTTTAAATGCCACCACACATGTATCTGTGTATGTGTGTGTGTGTGTGTGCTCTCTCCTCTCCCGACTGCTCCTCCCGTTCTCCTTAAGAAGGGAGTCTCTCCGGCCCAATCACTAGAAAGACAGGTGTTATTTATCATTTCTGATTGACCCGCTGATTAGCCGCCGGGCTCCTAGCATGCTCTCCCCCCTTATTGGGTGTTTGATCACGCTTGCCTCTCCACACAGGAATTCATGTCTTTGAATTTGTGGGGGAAGCCGGAGGACCCGGAGGAAATCCACGCAAACATGTGGAGGACATGCAAACTCCACACAGAAATGCCAACTGACCCAGCCAGGGCTCGAACCAGTGACCTTCTTGCTGTGAGGCAATTGTGCTACCCACTGCGCTACCATGCTACCCTACAGTTGTCAATATCGCAGAATAATAATCTGTGATTTGACTCTTGGTGACATGGTGGCTCAGTGGGTAGCACTGTCGCCACGCAGCTAGAAGGTCGCTGGTTTGAGTCCCGGCTGGGGCAGTTGGCATTCGGACTGTGGGGAAACCGGAGCACCCGCAATCGAAAACCACACAATCATGGGGAGAACATGCAAACTCCACACAGAAATGCCAACTAACTGTGAGCCATTCGTGCTAACAACTGCACTATACATAGTGTTCTTGCTTCTTCATCATATGGAGTTGATTTCTTTCCCATTTAAGCGTTTTTTCTCTGCCTTGTGAATGATTATAACCATTCATTAAATAAATTGA